GTTTTTAAACATCTTGGCATAGAGGGTGCTCTTCCCCTGGTGCCAAAGTGATAACCAAGTTCATGTCATGTTGGTTTCAGGTGGTAACTGCATCATTTGGGGGCTACCACTTAGCAAGCCTTCCCCCTTTTGGTTGTCCTCCATTTTTCTCTCAGAGCTGGTGCTTGGAGGAATGCCCCAGATGTTGAGCAGAGCATCTAGGCAGCTTATGATGGGTGAACTTCTCTGCCAGCTATCTCAGTCCAAAGCCATGGAAGGCTATATAGGTTAAAACCAGCACCTTGAATTGGACTTGGATACAGATGGGCAGGCAATGAAAGTAGGCAGAGCTGGTCTTATGTGTTTGGACAGGTGGGTCCCAGTTATTAATTGGGCTAATGCGTTCTCTACAAACTGCACATTCTTAACATTCTTCAAGAGCAATCCCACATAGAGTAAAGAGCAGAGTAAAGGCTGACGTCAGATAGGAAAGTACTGGCATTTAGGCCGTCATTTAGCTCCATCTCTGCCTAGGAGACCTGAACTGTTTTATTCAGATTGTGCCAACGTGGGACCAGTTGTAGCATGCTAGCATCTTCATGATCCAGGCCATCAGAGCTTCTTTGAATTGTTCAGTGGAGTGCTCCAGAAACAAGATGCACAAAGACGTATATATATTACAGCAAAGTGCACTAAAGTACACACACAAATGCATATAATAATGGAAGCATCATTCAAAATCATAGTAAGGAAATTGGCATTCAAACAAATGTGTATACCGTATGCACATATTTTGTATGCAAAATGGTGTACAGAAATGTATGCATTAGGAGAAGTGCACACAAGAATGTGTATAGATATTCTGCAAACTGGAAAATAATGTTGAATGTTTGCAATGTGCCAAACTGAAGAGGAAGAAACATCTCAGAGTTTAGGATAAACAAAATTTAAGATTGAAAACTGAGAACCTGAAATGGACATACTCATCTAACTCTAGATTTTCCTGCCCATGCATATTCTAGCCATGTCTCTTCCTGTACCTGTCTGTTGAAAGGTAAGCTAAGTTGCCCCTACATAGAATCCATGGAAGAAGAGAACTTAAATTCACACTGCTTCTTCCTCCTCCCTGCTCCATTTTCTCCAGATTACTGACAGTCCTCAGTCTGCGTATTCTTCCACGGTCCCTATTTGCTATTTATTAGGGATAGTCTGAAATAAATCACTGCTTCATTTTCCCCCACAGCCAGATTTGGCCTTTTGGTGGTGCTTTTAAAAAACTTGTTTCTGTGTGACTGGTTAAACTGTATTTAGTTTCTTAATTTCTATACTGCCTAATAGCTGAAGCTCTGTGGGAGGTTCACAGTAGCACATTAAAAATAACATAAAAGAAACCTCATATTAAAACATATTAAAATTTCATAAAAAGTTTACAATACACCCCCCCTTACACACACACAGACACACACGCTGACACACACAAATACCAACTTGAAGAAAATCTTACGATCCGTTTAACAGCTAGCAGGCCCCAATAGACTACTTGAATGCCCTGCATTAGGTGACAGTCTTCATCTAGTTCTGAAAAGGTAATGAAGTTGGTGCCAGGCATGCCTCAGTGGGGAGCTCCTTCCATAACTGGGAGCCACCACCGAAAAGGCCCTTCTCCTTGTTGCCGCCATCAGAGCCTCCTCTTGGAGGTGGCAGTCAGAGAGAGACCTGAGAACACAATCGAAGTGTCTGTGTAGATAAAGGTCAGAAGTGTTGCATCGGGCATCGTCGGGTTTCAGTTCCCTTCCCTAGCGTCTTTCAGAGTTAATGTCTCTGAGGAAGATGATAGGAAATGCACCTTGTCTCTAGTGTGCATGCATCTAAATGTGCATGAACATTAAGGCACCATGCTGTGGATCGCCTGCCACTTGTCATGCTGCAGCTAATGAGCTGTCATGTGAGCTATTATCCTGCAGTTAGGTTTTGCTAATGTATTTTTGACAAAAGGAAGGAATACTGCCTTGGCTCCTCAAGCCACAGCAGGCTGAGTAAATGAATATATAGCACAAGCATCACAAGCAGGATCTTCAGCAATGTGCAATGGATGGGGTTGCGTGTTGGTTTTAGTGAATAGGTGTGAGACAGACTCCTTGCAAATATAATTGCTTCCTGTAATAGTGAATCCAGATGCTGCATCCAGTGGCTAGGTAGCCAGACTGGGGCCACTGAGAAACGAAAGGGGGGTATTGGCGTGCTCAGGGGAATTCTAAGAATTGCAGAAGTACTTTTTTTTTTAAATGCGCAAGCCCTCCCCACCGAACAAAATCCCTCAGTGAAGACCGTACATGGAAATCTGTTGGGAGATAAAATGAGAAAACTGGGGAGAAGGTCTGAAGGAGGGAATGGAAGAGAGAATCCTGGGGGATAGCACATCTGGGATTCCAGACTGCACATTGCAAGAGTTTGCAGCCAGACCTCTATGTAAAATGTAATATTGATTCTGCTTGCAAGTCTTGTAAGAGTCACAGAGCTAACATTTGCAGGGTGTGTCCTATTTCAAGTGTCTTCTTCAGGAGACAGTCCTGTAGGCAATTTGAAGCAATCCTCTGTTTGAAGGGCTGTCCTGTGCGAGGGTGTTTTAAAATAAAGAAGCATAGGAGGGGATGGCCCAGTGGGCTTGAAGCTACCCATCAGCAATTAGCCTCTGGACTGAGTGGGCATGTACTGTAGGTCATCTGGTCATCATGTTTGCCGCTATGGTGAGATGCCGTCTATTTCTGTTTAAACTACAGAAATCCCCCGTCGCCACTGCCCCCAAAATGTGTTTCTAGCTATACTGGGGGCTTTGTGAGAAAGGGTGGGTTATAAATAAAATAAATCAACTTCCATCAATACACAGTTATTTGATATGCAAATTTTATGCAAATATGTGCCCATTATTAGCTTCATTTTTAGTGATGCAGGCCCTCATTTCTGGACATGCCTAAGTCTCCACACAACCTTGGACACTTAGCAAAGTGCTCTGTGCACTTGCGCTGACCACATAAATGCTAATTATTTGACAGATGCAGCTGCCTCTTTTGAAACTGATTCATTGCAGTGGATTCTGCAACAAAGTGATCGCAGTGAAATTTGTGGCATGTAAATGGCCCGGATAAACTATTCTGTTAGAACTGAGGAGCGTACCACTGGGGGCAATGCCGTAATGCAACACAGGATTGCATGGGGAAATTGCTTGGTGCCCCACATTCTTGGAAATCCCTAGGTAGCCATGAGGCTCATTGGGGGGTCTTTGGTAACCCCCCCCCCCCTCACTGTGCTTAGCCGAGTACATTTGTTTTTATGACACGTTTAAGATGAGAATTGTAATGCAGTATACACTAAAATATCCCATAAAGATGATGAATAATAATAGAAAATTGGAATATGAAAAGACCTAACATAAAAGTTAATTTCTTTAGTGGGAAATAAAGAGACGCCAAAGCTTACATATGATTATTAAGGCAATTTTACTTTTTGCTGCAGCAGTTTTGGGTGGGTGTTTATAGTTTTAGAGCCGCTTGTAATCAATCAACCCAAGCAGCCCTCCAATCATTCAGCTGTGGCTTGTGGTCAGCTGCTTGTCAACTTTTGCCATCCCAAGTAGGCATTAAAATTGGAGGGCGTTAGTCTTCATGGTTGTCATACATGACTGGTGAGCTCACCTTGGCTTGGTAGACCACAAGGTGCAGAGGCCTACAGTTTTTAGATTAAGAGCAGTGTTGGCTTCCCACAACATTTTGTGTCTTTGAAAGTTTCAGGGCTTGTTTACATGGGCTTTGATTCTGAGGTATTTGCTTTATCATTCTCTTCAGCTGACATTTGTTTGCACAATCATTGAGTGAATCCAAGGATGGGGCATGTTAAAGGAAAGTTCTCTTATAGGTAGACTAGGACAACCCTTTGGCACAGGGAACAAAGCTCTCATGCTCCATGGAAGACAAAGATATGATGGTATATTGTAATGAATCACACTGATAAAATTGGTAACTGCAAAAAATAAAGGACGTTGAAAGCAGTTGAGAAGCAGATAAAAAGAATTTGTAGAACAACTGGTTTTATTAGTGAGGGTTCTTCTGCACTCCGCTCCCCCTCTCATTTTGGAGGGGATCGGCACCCCAAGCAAGATTCCTGCCACGGACTGTTCATTGATGGAGCACAGGGGTCACTCCTTCGTGTGGTGCTAGTCTTCTTACCTTTGATCACCTGTGATCATTAATAACAGCAATTCCCCTCTGTATAACCCTCAGGTGAAAAGAGTTTGGAGAGGAGGGCAGCTCATATGTGAGGCCCCCCTAAGCTGGATGTTCCTCAAACCTGCCTTGGTGGATCAGAAAAATGAAGGGTTTGGTCCATTTGGAATCCATAGTTGGCTTCCCAGTTTTTGATTGGAGGACTGTGTCTTGTGTGCTTGCTTGTGACATATTAGAATTAGGTGGATACATTTTAGGGTGTCAGGGCACTGAAAAGGGTTGTCTACTCTCTCAAGTGGCACTTTCATGGAGCAGCAGGGGAAGGAAGCTGGTGGCAATGGAACAGAAAGAGGAAGGAGCAGACATTCTGAGGAGTAGAATGGCAGTTCTTCAGACTAGGAAGTGTAGCTTACCTTGGATTTCTATAGTAGGCACAGGGAACGGATCTAGTCTCTGGAATCAGCTGATTTTCAGAACTAGGAGGAATCTGGTCTGTACCCTGGTCTGTACTCTGTGCTTTTGTACCCTGACCTCAGCTGCTCATGGCTGCATCTTCCAATCATTTGCCTAAGCAACGCAGGCAGTCAAACGGTGCTTTATGATGTAGTTTCCGTCCCATGTTTCAGCATTGTTGTGGGAGTTCTATAGGTTGATACAAAGAGGACTTGCTAGTATTCTGGTCTTTCTTCACCTTTTGGCTCCTAAAGCTCTTTTCATAGAAGTGGAATGTGTCAGACTTTTTTCCAGAGAAAAATGCTGATATGGATAATAATATGCACCTCTCTTTCTACCCCCCTGTAGATTTTAATATCGGCTGGTCCTGGCCAAGCACAACAGGTCCTGATGGGGGATTCAGGATCAAGACGTTCAATGATTGTGTCCCGCTTGCCAATATTCCGGAGAAGTATTAGTCGAAGACATGATTCCCTTCCATCATCGCCAACTTCCAACAATACCATTGGTGTTCACAGCTCTTCTCCCTCCAGCACGAATTCTAGCTCAGGTAGCACAGGCAAACGCAGAAGCCTCTTCCGGACACCTTCCATTAGCTTCCACCACAAAAAGGGGAGTGAACAGAAAGCTGAAACTCCAAACCAAAATATGGGCATTTTGAATGGGGCTCAGTCCAGTACTTTGCAAAAGCTCAATTTGGAGGAGCATGTGAAAAACAGAGGGAGGCACTCAGTAGGTTTTGGAAGCTCTCGAAGCAAAAAGATCACAAGGTCTTTGACTGAAGACTTTGAAAAGGGCAAGGAACCTTCGACCAATAAGAATGTCTTCATAAACTGCATAAAGTCTGGGAAAAATGAGGGTGATGACTCTGGCTTTACAGAGGAGCAAAGCCGGTTCTCGGTTAAACATTCGTCAAGGAAACTTCTGCCCAAATCCTTCTCGACACACTCTAGGTTTTCAAAGCCAGTCCCTCAAAGCCAGTCAGTTTCCTGTGTGCCACCCTCTTCTTGCATGTTGGATATTAAACCCAATGTCGAAAGTGAACCTGTGTTGGTTAAACCCAGTGTTGAAAGTGAACCTGTGTCTCCTTCATGCTCTGCAGAGATCATAGAATGTGCAGGGAGCTCTTTACAGTCGCCAATGCTTTCTGCTGACCTGACCATGGTACAGACTCCTTCTGAGTTTTTAGCATTGACTGAAGATTCCATCTCAGAAGTTGATGGGCTGCCCAGCTGTGGAAATGTACATGTGGAAACCTTTTCCCACAATGTTGCTACCTCTCAAAATTTCCCGAATCCTGCTGCTCCTCCTCCTCCTCCTCTTCTTTCAAGGAAAACAGATAATGTAGAAAGTATTTCTCATTGTGCGGTTATATCTCCTGAAAGTCACAGGGCTAGAAACCGACAGCTCAGTGAAGCTAGTGCCATATCTGAAACCCTTGATTCTCATAGAAACCATGCAAAAGTATTACTGCAAGAACTTCCTGACAAATGGACCAGCCACCTGGAAGAAGCAAATTCAGGAGCTGAAGCACAATTAAAACCTTTTGTCTTAAACCAGGTTGAAGTAGCTGAACATTCTGCAAAAGCACAGGGATCACATAGGGCCCAACAAGAAATAAAAGCACCTGAACACATTAAAGAAACTGTCCTAGGAACGGAGCCCAAGCTCATCCCTTTGTCTTCTGAACTCCAGTCCTTTCAAACGCAGCAGGGATGTGAAATAAACCACACAAAGGGTATGCATCATTCATTTTTATTGTCTTCTGAAAGTGTCATTTCTAAAAATGTGTAGAAGTTTCCAAGTGCATGTAAATTGTGTTCAGGTGAGGCTGTGGATTCCTGGGACAGCACAGAAGCCCTGCACAAGACAAAATGCCAGGCTTTTGAAAAGATGCACAGGAAGAGATTTCTTTTATAGGAAGGCTTATTTACAGCACACCATGCCCCAGGGCTCAGAAAGACAGCACTAAGGTCTGATGTGAAAAAGCCTATTTCCTTTGTCTTAGCCAAGGGTACATGGCATGAAAGTGTTCTCATTTGTCTTCCCTGCAGAACATATACCTATTCCTGAACAGATGTTTTCAGGAAGAGAGTCTAAGGAACTGAAGCAAACAGTGGTGACCAAAGCTGAAGTTCTAAATCTTATTGGCAAATAGTGGTTCTTAAAGAACTAAAATATGAAATTGCTGAATGTCTAAGAAAAAGATATAACATGTCCCTAAGATCAGCCACTGTGCTAATGAACTGGAGAATGATCCATGCAACACCAATTTTTAAAAAGGGATCCAGAGGATCTGGTTAGCGTAATTTCTGTTCCAAGGAAAATGGTTGAAAACATTTTTAAAGGTAGAATCAAGAAGCATGTAGAAGGCCAAGCCCTGCTATGAAAACATCAGTATGACTTCTAAGTCTTGTCTTGCTATCCTTTTAGTGTTCTTAAGACCATCAGAGTAATGGATCTGAACAGAGTAATCTGGTAGACATTGTTTACATGGACTTCTGAATGAAGTCCTTCACCAAAGACTCCTGAGCAAACATAGGAGTCATGGAATAAGAGAGAGGTAGGAATGTTCTGCTTAAGGATCAGTAACAGAATGTAAGGAAGAATGTCCAATTCTTCCAATAGAGTGATATACACTGTGGTTTCCCACATGGATCTGTATTAGAACCAATGCTTTTAAACTTATTCATAAATAATTTGGAATTAGGAGTGAGCTGTGAATTGGCAAAGTTTGCTGATGACACTAAATGATTCAGGGTGGTTAAAACAAAATAAAAATCTTGTTTTGAGGAACTCCAAAAAGATGTCTCCAAACTGGGAGAATGGGCATCAAATTGGCAAATGTGGTCCAGTTTAAGCAAGTGCACACTGATGCATGCTGGGGCAAAATATCTCAACTGGTATAAGATGATTTTCAGTATAAGCTGCTGGGATCTGCATTAGTGTTGGATGACTGAGATCTCAGGGTTGTGGTGGATAACTCAATGAAAAATCAACCCAATGTGAAGCTGTTATTGATCAAAGGGAAACTCTGTTTTCAGCATAATTAAAAAAGAATTTGATCATAAAACTGTGAAGAGTATCCTGGCCATATCTTTGCTGTGACTTCACGTAGAATATTGTGTACAGTTTTGACCACTGCACTTAAAAAGTGCATTGTACAGTTGGAAAAGATGTGGGAAAGGGCAGCTAAAATCAAGGTGCTGCAGCAATTCTCCTATGAAGAAGGGTTAGAATAGCTGGGATTGTTTAGCCTAAAAAGGTGGTAGAGATGATAGAGAGATCATGAGTTTATGGAAACACTAGTTCATACTTCCATGCAAACCCCTCCTAACTTCTCTAGTAAAATCAAGATGCTTAGCCACTGAATTTGTAAGAAGAGAATCCCTATTATTTATCAGAATTTTACAAAATGTAAACACACCAGGGAGAAAGAAGTTTTTGCAATTTATTCCCATGCTTCCTGGTGTGTTTCCAGACAGCATTTTATATAGATCGTATATTCACACAATCCTTCAACATGTATTAGCAGCTTCCCCATATTCCCCTGAGCATTTTCCAGTAACTTGGATTCAGATATCCTTATTGTCTTGCCTGAAGGCAGTGCCAGGGGTCCAAATAAAGATTTACTGTGCTTCACCCACCTTCTTCCAATTAATTGAGATCAGATGTTTGTGAACAGATTTCTACAAGTATTCATATGATTCTTGTTCTAATTCTGGTAATTGTATGACTTTGTTTCTTCACAGTAACTCTTGCCAGCAGTTTTAGCCCATGTCGAGAAGGGAGATTTGTAGAAAAACGTTTGAGATCCTCATCAGAAGGTACTGCTGGAAGTAGCCGGATGATCTTAAAACCAAAGGATGGAAATGCAGAAGAAATGAACAGCTTGCGGAAACAAAGAACGGGTTCTTCATCGTCTAAAATGAACAGCATGGTGAGTTTGCAAAACCTCACTCAGCATGGTGGGACGTTTCCTTTATTATTGCTTATTGTGAGCAGAAGTGTGAGGACAGCTTCTTAAATACTGCACACTGCTAAAGCAAGGAATGCCAAGATCTAAGTATAACAAAGGATATTTTCAGAACTGAAATAAATGACATATTTTACAACTTGGAAAGCATGATATCTGTTTATTAAAAAAAGAGTTAGCTCAGAATTCAAACTGTCGCAAAACCCTGGCAGTTCCAGGCACAAAGCTCTCTATTTGTCTCAGTATCTTCATGTTCTCTGATCTTGGAAGAAAACTCAGAGGTCCAGGATAGGTTGAAAATTTCCCAGTTGGATGGATGGACTGCCCACCAACAGTTCCTCCATCTTGTCTGGTTTGAACAACATACCCAGAGCTGCAACCCTTCGGAAGGCCTCTAAAGACCTTAGCATGTTACTGAGACAAGAACGCACCCCCCCCACCATATGAATTCATGGCAGTGTAGAACTGTTTAGGGTCCTGAAAGTTCTAGCCATCCTGCCCAGCTGAATTTATCTGTTTTAGTAAGGGAAACTGCTTTAGGTAGGTTCTCCTGGAAAACCTGAAGAGAGCTAAGGCAAGTACTTCTGTCCACAATGCAGAATGGAAATATTAAGGAGGAAGGGATATGTCAGATCATGGTAGTGCTCCTGTTCTCATGCAAAAATTCCTTGGCATCAGTCTGGGGCATTTCCAGTTATATGATCTTGTCTAGCTGTGGACAGGCATTGCCCACTGGAGTACACTTCAGACAATCTAGAAAATGAACATATATCATAGTGCCATAACAATGTCCAGTGGAGGGACCCTAGAAGCTCAGTGGCAATGTGTTTGCTGGAATAGATGGTGCAGGATTGGTGGTGAATATACACTTTGTCTTGTACAGAGTACTCTCTGTGACACTGGCCTTGAAGAAAAAAGAAGCTAATTCTCCTTGTGGATCAGAAAGTTATGCCTAGGAAAAAAATGCCCCTCTCTTGTTTGTGCTGCATAGGTCAGAGCAGCAACTTCAATCTAGTAATGGTTCTCAGCCAGGATCTTCAGGTGCAAACAGACATCATAAGAAACAGTAGGGATTATCATAAGCATCACAACAATCTAATGAATTTCTTAAGCCAGATCATAATTATTACAAGACTGAAAAGAGAGTGAAAATCTAGGACAGATTCTGGATTCCATTTGTATGTATGAGGTGTGTCCTGAGCTCTCTGCACTTGCAGTTATAATGCTGCCAGTTTGGTATCGCCACTGCTTATGTTAAAGGGAAAACTTGTGGGCTCCTGGATGTTTTGGTCTCTATCATTCCATTGCCCTATCATTATTCCTATCATTCCTTTCGATTTAGCATGCTGGCTGGGGCTGATGGGAGTTGTAACCTAAAGCATTTCAGAGCTACAAAGTGCCCACTCATAGCTGTTAGGATGCTGATTCTGTTCTAGTTCTCAGCTCTGTATCTACAGGCTGCCTTTCTAATTCAGGTAGACTACACCTGAATTAGCACAGGAGCTCAGGATCATACCACACACTGCCAGATGCTTCCCCCTTTTTGCTTTCTTTGAGTAACATGTACATGAGCCACAAAACAGAAGTGCCTAGCAGAGTTGAGAAGGTTGCACATTTTTAAAGCCCTGGAATCCAGTAATGGATCCATCTAGTCAATAGAGCCACCTTTCTTGTTTTACATAAGAAACCCCCAGCTGGTCCAGACTGAAAGGTCTACCTTTTTAGCCCAGAATCCTGTTTCCCACAGTGGTCAGCCAGATGCCCCTGAGGATCCCATGGAAATATTAACTCGGTGTTCTTGTTGTTGCCCAGTGGCTGTTTCTAAACTAGGCTTCTGCTGAACCTGAAAACTGCATTTAGCCAGCATTACTACTCGCCACAGAGAGCCTTATTCCGCATGGATTCCACCCCCCCATAAGTTCTGTGTTATGTGAAAAAGCACTTCTGCGCCTCATGTCAGCTTTTTTGGATGATCCCCAATTCTGTTATTAGAAGAGAATAAGAAAAAAGCTCAAAGCACTTTTTCCACACCATGTAAATTTTATAAATAATGGTTTCCTCCTTAATCATCTCCCCCCTCAAAAACCCCAAATCCTGTAACCTTTCCTCGTAGCAAAGATGTTGTAGGCCTTTGATTATTTGAGTCCCTCCCCTCCCTCCCTCCCTCCCTCTCTCTTTCTTGCTGCTACTTTTCCAGCTGTACTATATCTTTATTGAGATTTGGACCCAGAACAGTGTACAGTAGTCTAAGTGGAAGCTTGGAGTTGGCCCATTTCTTGGATCTCCTCCATTACATTACAAGAAAGGCACATGGAAACGAGTAATAAGGACCAGGACCTACCTATGTGATAGTAGGTACAGCAGGACCTACCTACTGTAATAAAGGAATCATTTGGATAGTTCCTGTCCATCCTTCACTGATTAGGAGGGACTAAAGCTGTTCTATTGCTGGCAGATCCTCCAAATCTAAGGAGAGATGAATTGGCTGGTTCCACATTCTCACACCTTCAGTTTTTTAACATCTCAAGTTATTTCAGGCACCAATATGAATAAATCAGGGAGTTTGGGCACATTCATATTCAAATTGAACTGCAACAAAATTCCCACCCATCTTCACAGAGCAAGTTACATAGATACTACTATTCCTAGGATGGATGGGACCATGTTGTATCTGATTGACATACAACTCTTAAGAGGAGGAAGAGAGAGAGAGCGAGCGAGCGAGCGAGCAAACGAGTGAGAGAGTGAGGATAACTTAATTTCAGCAGCACAAACACACAAGCCTGGTTGAACATGCAGGAATTTAAACCCAGAATTTTAAGAGCTAAGCACTCAAACTTTAGGCTTTGATGGGCAAACCGTTCAATTTCAGTTCCTGCCATATTAGATTTCCTTTCTTTTTAATCTAGTACATTTTGCCCTATTGTGCAGCACTTCATGAGTTTTGGTAAATTCTTATAGCTGAAAGTCCATCAGTTTATACCATAAGCTATACCTCCTTAGGTCTTCAAGCATAATTTGTAAAACTAAATATCATCTTTCTCTTCTGTTATCCATCAAAGTATGTGTTAGAATTCAGTAAATGTTCAAATTCTGCAACTTCACACACATATCGCAAACTTCTTATTGCACTAAAATATTTACTTTATGCAAGGGGTACATTTTAGATACAAAGCAGTGCTGGAAACGATAAGGAAACTAGAAGAAATAAAACAGGACTGTTTAGTTAGCCTTCTGCAGAGTCTGATGCGTTTCCTGAAGAGGGCAGCATTGCATTTTTTTAAACTTCTTTGCAGAAATATAGTTATCCAATTCTTGGTATCTCCAAAAAGACGTTTTGTGTAAAAGAGGCTTTGTGGTAAGATGCCCTTCAGACACAAAAGAAAGGGAGCCCTTTAAGATCCTTGTTGTTTTCTCCTTGTCACTGGCAGTAAGCGATGACTTCTCTTTTCCTTCAGCGGCAAGGGAATATCTGGATCTAGAAAGACTGATAAGCTAGCAGGCTTTCACAGGCTCTTACACGAAAGAGCAAGGGAAGCAATGGCAGGGGGGTGGGGGGGAAATGAAACAGTATCTAGGTAACAGGTGTTCTTTTTTTTAAGCAGCTGACTGATAGAAGTATTCCTTGAGGAGCATCAGGCCTTTAGTATGAGGCTGTAACTCAAAGCCTGTATGATACTTCTGGGCATTAGAGAATACACAAGCATAATGGTAATACATTGCCCGTATATTTTGTGCATGCAGTGCACCTTCCTCTGACTCTTACCCTTTGGAACTGAGCTCATTGTAGGGTGTGAATTTTAATTTGATTCCTGGGATGATGAAATTATTGCCCCTTTAAAGGAAAGGAACATGGGTACCATTCAACACCCCCCACCCATTATTGAATCTTGTTATTTAAGCCTTTTGCTTCTTGCTTATATTATGTGGCTGATGTTTGGCATTTTGCATCTGCTTATTTTCCTTTCCTTTCCTTTCCTTTCCTTTCCTTTCCTTTCCTTTCCTTTCCTTTTTATGAGTCCTAATTCAGATTAAATCCAGTTTGTAAATAGGTGAAAAGTATTTTCACACATGATGCTGCGAGGGATTTTTAATCTGGAGTGACATCCTTTTCAAAATTTTTATTGTTTGGTTTCTTCTGTTTCTGGCCATCCTGCAGTAATTTACTTATTCCACAAGATGTCAATGTTACTCTGCTCTATTGGAAACTGAATGTTGTGCATGCCAGGCAGGAGAGGAAATGTGTCATTAATTGGTTAATCCAGGGAAGCCAAAAAGTGATCAGTGTACGCTTTCCTATATACATTGATTTGAGCTTTCTTCCAGTCACTTCCACCTAATATGTTTTTGAAGAGGTTTGAAGTTGGTGTTGCTGAGCTGTGACAAACTAGAGAGACAGAGTCTCATGCTGAACTAAGCTCTGGGTTGCAGATCTAGCAGAGAAGATAATGGGTCCCCTTGCACGTTTGTCTCCAAATGAGGGCTTGTTGCCAGCAGACAGCCTTCACAAGCAGTTGCAGTCCTAGACGGCCGCCATCTTTGTTTGCAGCAATGCTTTAGAAGTTAAGCCGACCCAGCCAAACGGGCAAGAGGCTGTCACAGGTGCAAACAGTGCATTTCAAGTAGCAAGTAGCTCTGGGACCCACACAAACTTAAGAAGGCTCCACTCTTGTAGGAGGGGCTTCAGACCGTATTTTCCAGAGGGTCATCTTACCCTTGGAGCCAGTCCTGGATGGTCAATCAGAGAACAATAATCCAGTTTCGAGTTATATCCCTGAAAAAATAAAAAAACAGCATCAAAAAACATTTGAGGGCAATCGGAGTGAAACTGCATTTGATAGACCCTACATATTGAATGGTGGCCTTGTACAGAATTTCTTTATGCATTTGTTCTTTTATTAGAAACATTTTATATCCTATTTTTCAGTTGGAGATTTTCAGAGCTACTTAAAATGATAAAACAT